TAAACAGACAGACAAAAATTTTGCAAAAGGGTGTTCTGGGTTTCAACAAGGTGCTGTTATCTATGTAAGAGCTTGAAAGAATTATTTCGAAATCACTGACGCTTCAATTTTATTTATATAGATTGTTCGGTTGTGCGTACGTAATTTTTAATTTAAAACTTTGGGTGCTTCGTGAGAGAGAAATAAAAATCGATTTTTGTCGTTGCTTTAGGTGCTTGAATAACTCTCATGGAATACTAACATGTATCTCGCAAGTGTCCGGATACTTTTGAGCGACAGTGTACGCGAGGGCGTAGAGAAGCATGGATAAAATATATACGGTGTGCCCGTAATCCGTAGATATCAGCTTGTTGTCGCTGCCTTCGTGCTATTGCAAGAGGTTTATCGGATCTCCCTCCGCCTGCGTGGCCACGGTATACACCGGGACGACGTACCAGATTGAGCTAACCGATGATTTCTACTTTATGAAAATTCGTTTGACTAGCGACGAGATTCCAGGGGATTGGCTGGCGTTAAATGACGCCGTTGGAGACGGTGGATTGTTATCGGATTTCTAGGACTCTTTCGCCGATAAACGAGGAATTAGGATACAAGCTTGGGATGCACGCTTAGGGTACACTGCGATTGATAATATAGTCAATTCTCGGCAGTCTCAAATTGCTCGAAGTTGTCGAGATTTCTATCCTGTGTTTACATTTGGCTCAAGTCGTCGAATGTAAAAAAGGACAGAGAGTGAAAACGTCAACGGAGAACCCTCTCCCAGTGGTGGTAATAGTCTTCCACTTATCCAGTCAATTCTGTCTTGCACTTATACAGTATTTAAAAAAAAAAAAATCTCATCTTATTCGTGACAGTTTAGTAACGACTCTTCATTAATAAATTTAGTATTTTATTATTTCGGTATATCCCATTTCCAGTAACCGTAAAGGTATCAAGCATTTCCACGTTCCGTTTTGCGCAACACGAGAGCTGGTGTTTCAATAGAAATAACATTAACCGTGTCGAGCTTCACCTCGGACGAGATATTAAAGTAAACGTACAGGTTGAGGCGATATTAATGGTTATCTGGTACGCCACGTGTCGGATCGCGGAGGAAACTATGTTTTCATAGGTCCGCGAAGAAAGTGCTCTTACAGCTCGTGTTCGACCATCGTATTTCATCCGTGTCCTTCTTTTGCTCCTCCTCTTAAATTGCCTCTTTTTCGTCCTGCAGCCCTTACGCGCCAACGCTCCTCCTCCCCCCATCGGGGTGAAGAGAGACAATCGAATCTCGGCTGTGGACGGTCCTAGAAATTTTTCAGGGAACGATAAAATACTTATCCGACGAATAACATTTTTCTTGCGGAAACGAGGAAACTTACAATTGCCCTCACTCCATCGCCCTACATCCTCTCGACGGATATCCCTACATTCTCTCTTTTAGTTTCTTCGTTGGAAGCCATTTATTGCTGGTGAATGTATTTATCGGTAGACGGGAGATGTTTGAGGAAATTCATATTTTTATAAGTACGGAAGAAGAAATACAACTTAAATGAAAGTACAATATTATTGGTGACACTTTATACAGGTTTGCATTTAAACAGTTTCTTATGCACAATTTAACATTTCTGTTCGTTATAAATCCATAAACATCCCCAGCTTGTTATTAAACTTAAATGAGATTGCAACAATATCGGTGATATTTTATACAGTTCTGCTATTTAAACAGATTCTTATATACACAATTTAACATTTCTATTTTCTATAAATGCATAGACATCTCCGGTTTGTTATGAAACTTAAATGAAAGGGCAACATTATTGGTGATATTTTATACAGTTTTGCTTTTGCACAGATTCTTATGCACAATCCAATACCTTTATTTGCATTTCTATTTCTATAAATTTAAGATAGTATACCATGTAGTGTTAATACATAACAATGGATATACCTTCAACTGAACTTTATTAAAAATTCATCCAACCTTTTCACCATGGATTTCCTTCACTCCCTGTTTAAAAACACCTCCCTTTGCACGCGACGGTTTTAATCAAACCCAAGGAACTCGAAAGATGCAATGAACTCGGCAATACTCCCCGGGACGCAAAAATCACGAGACACGGAAGCGCCTCTAGACCGTGCCCCTGACGTCCGCCACGGCAATAAGACTGTCCTCTAAAGACACGCGATTCTAAGTCGAGCAATATACGAGAGACCCCGGACACCGGTTCCCCGGTCGTGGAACACGTATATGCCCTTACGTGTAAGGAGCAAAAGGCACAAAAGGATTTCCCTTATTTTCTCCCGTATTCCTCTGGGTTGTGTACGCTCCGAGCCAGGTTGCGCGCTGTCCTTCCAATTCCGCGCTCCGTGCCTGGCCGACGAAGAGAAACACACATGCCAGGAATGGTCCGGTGTTGGAGGGAGCGTTCGACGTGTACGGACAACAAAATAAGCGAATAATACGCGGGGGTACGTCCCGAAAGAACGGAATTATACGCGCGCACAGCCCCGACTGTGCCATGCAGCAGCGGGGGTGGAATGGTACGTGGACGCAGGTATAAAATAAGGACAGAGACGAGGGTGGATCGTGAGCGATTGTTCGAAAATGGCAGCGTCGTCCGACCAATCGTGAATAGGGCCAGCTACGGGGCCAAATACTGGCGCGACGCCAAATAAACTCTACCGAAGGCGAGCGTGTATAACGTCGCAGCGCGCACACGCGTTCCCTCGAATGACACGCTCGTATATCAGTCGGTCCGGCGCTAGGTGCGGCCATTAAAATTAAATATTGCCGGGGCTTTCTGGAATCGAGCACGCGTCGCTCGCGTCGCCGATCCTTTACAAGAAATTTCGAATATCGGCCGAGATTTAATTAAACGTCCGAAATTAATAACCCCCTCCCGGCCCCCCTGGGGAATAATGGCAACTGCTCGTTGGGGCCGTTCTCCTTCCTTTTTCCGAATGTAATTTTATTACGGAACCGGCCAAAATTACGCGAAACCCGATTCACCCGAAACGTACCGGTGATATACGAGACTCGATATCGGGGATGTCGATCTTTTTCAAACTGGACTCGGACGATGGATGTTCAAAATGAATTCTATCGATGCCCGAGGAATAACGGTATATTGGATTAAAACGTAACCGAGCGGTGCGAGGAATTACCTTTCGACTCCACTCGAACTTGCGTGGTGTCGAGAATTTCAAAAATGAACGCGATAGAGTTTTTTGTAGAGTTGTCGACATTTAGAGAAACGATGGTGTTGGGATTGCGAACGGGCGGTTTGTAGATATTCGCGTTTTAGAAAATCGTGTATCGCGTAGACGTCATCTAGGATTATTTATCACCTATAAAATGGCGATACATTGATAATGTCAACCTACAGTCGGTCCCATAAACATTTGTAGAATCTGTGTCCATTGAGAAAATTTGTTTAAATTAAATGGTAGGTTTAATGTTTCCAAGTGTATGATTTGTATACGTATGTTTGTATAAATATATGATATTTATATATAAATATGTACATGTATAAGCCTATTCACATACAGGGTGGAAATTATAAAGCGTTCCAGTCGAATATCTTCGAAAATATTGATTATCCGGAAAAATGTTTCGGTTTCCCTCAGTCACCACTAGATTTTCTTTAGGTTTAATTTCTTTGGAACTCGAAGTGCCAATAAAATTATTATCGTTGAGGCAACGGTGACTTGATTCTCAAATCTCAAATTAGAGATCTCATTCGAGAAGTCAATATAATCTCAGCATTCGTGGCAATAGAATGCTAAGAAAGCATCTCGAGTTGCTGGTAGATACCAGAAAAAAGGCCTCGAGTGCAGATGGATAATAAAAAGAGACATTCTTTCCCCAAACGAAGTATAGAAATATTTTTGTCGCATAATTTATCCCGCAAATTAATCGCCCCGCGAGCCCCGTTTGCTTTGGTTACATTCAGCTATGAAACTACCTGGAACAAAGAATAAACGCCACTACCGTGTCCAATCAAATACCAGTTCAAAATAGCGACAGCGTAGGTTAACATTCCACATTACTCGGACGTACGTACTTCCGCACTCCGCTGTTATTATTACTACGCAGCCAGCTTAATTATAATTAAATCACCAAAATTGGCACGTAACCTTTTGTTTTCGAAACCCCGCCGCCTTGATTCTCGCTGGCCTTACGGATACCTCTCTCGGAACGTACAAAATTAACGAATCGCACGGTAATTACAAATTAATTGGCTCGCGTAGAAACGCGCAAAGAATCCATTGAACGCAGCTATGCTCGCTGCCCGCGTTTCCTCCCTTAAGAGCGCGGAAAGAGGGCCCAATAAACGGCGAAACCCTTCTCTGTTCCCTCGTTACCGTGAAACGGCGTCCGTAATTTCGCGAAATTAAGATTTCATTAGAAACCCCCTTCGTTTGACGGGAGGTATCGCGAAAACGGCGACATGTTTCCGCGACCGCGGTACGTTTACCAATCAATTTTCAGTGTATAGATCCGAATTGAGGTTAGCGAGCTGAAACGCAACCCGGTAGTCAAAGCGGCGGAGAACTCGCAAGCGATTCAGTTTCGTTCTTTTCTTTTAACTGAGGCAGTATGAACGTTAGATAGATCTCTTATTGACGCGCTAGAGTTGGCAGAAATATATGTTGACTAATTATAGAATAATGTTTGTTGAGCAAAAATCTTCTTCCTTAAATTTCTGAAATTGTCTGGGATTATTTTGGACAACAACATGCAATTTTCGCAACGTGAGAACTTTCTTCTTCAATTTTTCTGCTATTCTTTCGTTTCTCCTATAATTTTAATACCTTTTACCTACATTCTACTAAAAAATTATAAAAAATTCTATTACACACTTTATAGTAGTCTCGCTCTCGCAGTGAAATAAAATTGTAACGGGTATTTAATATTTAATATTCGGTATGTTTGAACAGGTTGAATATCAAACACATAATCTGCACGAACGCGTAAATATAAGATACGAAGAAAAGTAACTGCGAATCGAACGTACCTGCGTAACTACTATGCGGAAACTGGTCTGAAGTGGTCTCCACACGTTTGTCGGCGCTTGTACCTCGATCCACGGAAACCTCCGCCGAACGCCAGGCCTTTGTCCTGCAAATAAAATCGATTCTCACATTCCCTTCTAACAATCGAATATCGACTACGGCTTTCAAAGTTCTACGTATCCCCGATACAAACACGTAGATTAAATGCGTAGATCAAATCCCAACAAATGCGTAGAATCGACCCATTTAACAGAGAAACCGTGGACGTTATTATTTATTTATCGCTAAAAAGTTAAAGAGCGATCCCCGGTGCTTTTGCGAGCGGTGTCCGGCCGATAATAAAACGAATAAAACGACAAACGCCAATCTGAATAAGCGGAAAGTGTGCCCGCTATAAATTCCGATGATCGAACGTAAAGAACGCGAGCAAGTGTAAAGCGTGTATAAAGCACCAAACACAATTTCAGTTCGCACGGGGAACAGATTTATTGGCTCGTTCGATCAATTCCATCCCCCATACGTCTCTATTCATGGTAAAACCTGTCGCGTACATAACGATGAAATGAGATACGAAGAACTCTTCGTACGCATGGAAAATGTCTATAACGCGGTTTTCTACAGGTTGCGGTGTTCCCTCGGGTCGCCATTGCCCATAGAGACCTAGGAAAATGGAATCCATGAAAAATGGAACAGGAGGGACATCATTAACGCTAGTTTTCACCAACACCGGTATCATATATACTAAATTAGTTTTTAACACGTTGACTGCCAGATTGATACTCTTGAACATTTCTACTGTGATCAAACTTTGTTTATAAGTTATTAGAAACTACATGATCAAACATTTATTCGGGTATTTGTGTTTGAAACGTCGTCGAAATTGGAGTATTTCGTTAGAATTCATTTTCTTTGATTTTTATGTGACTTTCAGGATTAATATTTTTAGTTCAATGGAAAGCACTGTCGCCCATATATGGACGACGTGGCGATCAACGTGTCGAATTAAACGCGCTACAGCCACAGTAGCATAGGCTACGCGCTCGGCGGCCGCAGTAGTATGGCGACGCGTTAGTCAGCCGCAGTAGCATAGGCTACGCGCTAGACTATTAGAGTCTACGTAATCAAACGTTTATCGTGGTATTTATTTTTGTAACTTGGAGGAAAAAGGATCCTGCTGCGGAAGATAGTTTTCGCTTGAAATAGCCAGTCGATAAGCTGTTAACAACTTGTCAACTGACTTCTCCAAGCGAAAACTATCTCCCACAGCAGGATCCTTTTTCCTCCAAGTTACAAAAATAAATACCACGACAAACGTTCGATTACGTATATTCCAATATTCTAAATAATGTCAGATTCTAGCTGAAATTTTCAAGAATATTTATCTGGCAATGAACGTGTTAAATGATAAGTTTATTCTCGAAAGCCTCAGGATTCATTTCTCCGTCTAGTACGTGTGAATGTTTCAAATTTGTCCATATTGATGTCGACCGAAGATGGCGTCGGCTATTCCCATATGGCTCTACCGAACGCTTCGCACGAACCAGCGTAATCCAGTCTCAACTTCGAAGCCCGGATCTGGTCACGCGTGTCCGCGAAACAGTTGGGAGCGCAAGTGGTTAACAAAATCGCGCCGCTGGAAACACGGGACACGTGCACGCTTTGAGAAACGGTTCGGAATAGCGGCCAGGGTATTACACGCGCTCGATGAATGTCGGATAGAACCGATGGCGCGAGACCGGGGACGGGACAGGAAGGGAATAGGATAAACGAACATGGAGATACCGTACGATTGGACGACGATATCCAGTATGATTCCCGGAATGGCCCTCTATTTCTCTCCCGACCTACCATCCGCGTCCCTGATAGCGTACACGCGACCAGCATCGCCTCCGGATAGCAACGGAAACGCGTCCCGCGGACAGAAATAAGATTGGACCGGCGCTACAAGTTTCCTCCTCGCGCGATTGAATCGTGAAACGTATACGTCAAAAACGTTCCACGAAATTGATCATCGGGGATCGCGTATTCGTGGCCGGCATCGAGAAGGATGTTCGTGGTCCGTGCCATATTGAAATCGAGAGAGGAGAAAGGCTCGAGGAAGCTGCAGTTTGAACGAGAAACGTTGGCGAAATACGAGAATCGATTGCACGGAGGTCCAGGTGGGCCAAGAAAATTTCGGGTTAACGCGTTGATCGCCACGTCAGCCAGAAATGGATGACAGAAATTTTCATTGAGGAACTAAAAGAATTAATTCGGTTGAGTTTAAGAAAATTGGGAAACCTCGGGCTGATTTTTTTATCATGGGTAGCCCTTCACCCTGACGATTTCAACGGTGGTCATCTCGACCCTTAACTAACTCCCTCTCCGTATGGGTCAAAACCTGAAATGGTTCATAAAGTGTTTCTTACACCGATCTCGGTGAATACATTATTTTTAACTTTTTCACAAATCTACTCAGATAGTATTTCCGTGTAGACACTGCGTACATTAACTGTACTCAATATTGCTGCCCTCGCCGAAAACTACCACTATTATTTCTGCTTGCCATCGATGCATAAACATCTGCGCCCAAACTACGCCAAACAGCTCCCCATGAGTTTCAAAAAAATGATTCGAAGATTCTCAAGAAAAACTGCTGTTTCGCATAAAGAAAGCGAACGACGTCGGCCAATTTCATGGCGGTAGGATAAATTTGTCCAAGCCAGTGCTCGAGACCTGAAGAGGATCCTCTACTTTTGTCCCCGCGGTTTTGACACTGATTGCCCCCACGCGGAATTAACTGCAGCTTCGGCTCGTGCCTCCGCCAGCGAAACTCACAAACGCGAAACAGATCTCGGACTCGATGACCCACAAAATCGCGTAGAGGTTCCGCTCCCCTCTGTAACGAATTATTTCGGAAATTAGTCGGTCGCGTGGAACACGAAAATATGTAAATTCGACGCGGGAATAAGAGTGGGCGATATTAATAGCGCGGTAAACGCTGGTAATAATCTCGTTAGGAAGATGGACGAAGGCACATTGAAATGTCTGTAACGCGGGTTACAATTATTTTCGAGCGTGCTAAGCCACGGTAGTTTATCGACGGTATTTTTCACCGGTGTGCCGGTGGGCTCGCAGCTGACGCTGACCTGCATAAATATGTTAAAACGACGGGTCGGCGGAACTGCCACCGGGGCTAAATTAAAATCGAGTTTCCATTCATTACGTGGCCCTTATCGTACGCACCCGCTCGCACTTCGCATAGAACGAAGCGTAACCTGTTCATCGCCGTGCCCTGACGGGCAGAAACTGATTTTTTTTTTTTTTTTTTTTTAATTAATTTCTCGTATCTTTTAATTTGAACTCTCTTCAAAAAAACATAGAGGGCATGAATACTTATGGGACTATACAGTGTGTCCTAAAGTTAGTGTAAGAACCGAAAATGGGGGTAGCTGAGACTATTCTGAATCGCAATTTCCTTTACAAAATTGTCAGATGGTACTTCGTTTCTGAATTATTAGTAATTCGACATTTTTGCAAAGGAAATAGTGGTTCAGTGGTCTAGCTGAGACGATTCTTACACTACGGTTGTTACACTAAACCTGGACCATCCTGTATATTTTATAACTCCTGTAATTTATATTAACGCAATATAAATATGTACTTTATTTGAATATACTCTACACTTTTCCTTCAAAAAATTCCCAAATACAGTTTACTTTTTAAAATGCAATAGTAGAAAATCCCCTTGACTCTTATCACAGGATCACACTCGTGGCACCTCGTAACCAAGAATTTCTCGCTCGGAACCCTTTCTATCGCCTATCAAAGAAACGATGGTGCCTCCAAACAGCAAGTTTGCGTCAGATTGCGACTGCAGCCGCCAGTCCAGATCTCCGCGAGATACACCAGTGGAGGTAGGGCGAAGAAATTCGAAGAAACGGCAGCCTCCGAATCCGGAACTTTTCTGTCGAGGTGGCCGGGTGTCGAGACACGGACTGTAAGCGATATAGATTATCAAAGTTCGACGCAACTGTTAGCCGCAGAAGCGTCGGAGTTACGGAGGGGGGGGGGGGCATCTCTGGTCCCTCATCCCCTAACCACCCGTTCGTATCCGAGTCCCGAGCAATATCCGCGCGGCGACTTCATCCCCGTCACGCGAACTTCATTTCCACGGGGCACGGAGCGAGGGAATATTCGACTGGATCTATTTCTACGGTCAATTTAATGGTGTTCTACGGTGACACAGGCCAACGAAAGTCGCGGTAACCGCGGTCGAGGCTGATTGCATCGGTCCACACGGTAATTGAGATTCCGATAAAGTCAATCGAGCAATTATTGACTATTACACACGGTTAACGTCGGGATCGGTGGAGAGTCGGTCGACGGGAATCCGGTGAGCGATATTTTCAGCCGGGGGGAAGAATTTAGCCTGAGTGCGGAGACTGGGATCAGCCTCTTTTTAACCGACTTCGAAAAGAAGGTCACTCGATTCAACGTGTATATTTTTTTTTTTCTAAGGAAACATGCTCAAAATTTATAAAGAGAGAATCCTGCAGTGGGTATGAAGATATGAAGATATGATCTTTTGGGGCATTAATATCTCTTTGTAAGTGTAAAGCAATTTTGAAGAGGGTACATGCAGCTATCATAGCCTCGATTAAAATTTGTTTTCTTTTTAAAAGATACGAATACTTGTCTTAATCCAAAACAAAGTGTAAACTCACAGTGCAACTATTGAAGTCACCAAGTATATTTTTTAATGAAACAAAACTGATTAAAACGAACACAAAATGTATCACAATGAGCAGTGGGAAGTATATCAATTTTATTATTGAACAAATGGACCCTCGATGGGGGCGCGAATCGCTGGAAATAACTTTATACTGCGGCGTAATAGGGCTGGAATTCATACCGCGCTAGCAGTAAAAACGTATTTTTATGCAAGGAATATTAAAGCCCCGGGCGTTGGTGGCAAGATGCGAGTGTACGCTAACCGTCGACAATTTAAAAATATTACTCAACCGAAACAATGCGTGGAACGTAATTGGGCACGATTACAGTAGAGAGGATACTTGAAAGAGAACTATATAAACTTTCACAGGAATGACGAAGCTGCCATAATGG